CTTATAAACATCTTAAATCTCTGTGATTTCTCCACCCTTCTCTGGGTAATAAGATTTTTTCTAATAGCCTCTTCCTTCTAGAGGAGTCAGGTGCCAAATAGTGAAAGGTGGCTGACAGATTTTTCATCTAGGGAAAGACTTGGTGGCTGAGAATTAAAAGGCTGAGGAATAAAATGTGAGTGGAACAGGAATACAATATTAGGGCCTGGATTCTGCTGCTGGAACCAAGATGCTGTTGGAAAGCTAATGAGCACACAATGACTCTATATATATTTGAAACTCATTTTTAAATAGACCCAAATGTTCCTGATTGGGAAGACAGCCATGGATCAGAACTGGTAAGAAGGTAATGGAAATCATTGATTGAAAAACCTAAGAGCTCTGCAGGGCCAAGTGTATTTGTGTTACCTTGCAGGCTTTCCTTTATAGCCTCTCCAGTGATTAATGATGCTGGGCAACAGGATGGGAGGGGTTACTTCTATCAGACCATACCTTCACATATATTGGAAGAAAAGTTCCCCCATCTCACTCTCTAAAGCTGAAGGCCAGACTTGTAGCATAAACCATAACACCGGTGATGGTAGGAGCCCACAGTGGGCAGTGATGGTGATGGGGATCTGCAGAGCATTGCTTTTATCCAGCAGACTTGGAGAATTCCTGTGTTTAGCTTGGAGGAGGGTAGAAGAGAGGAATTTTCTGACAAGCATGGCATGCCATAGTAATCCCAGTTGCAGAACTGGGAGAAAAACTGGGATGGAAAACTGTTCTGCAGTTTCAAACCATATTGGGAATAGCAAGTTCAACTTCTTTTCAGGATTATTGAATTAATTTTAGTCATTTTCCATAACTCTCATATATTTTATTTTTTCTGTAGAACATTTAATTGTACATTATACACAGACCACTTGTCAGCTTTAGCTTCTCAGAACTAACCAAGGTCTTTATTTGGGTGTTTCTATTAATTGAAACATTGCTGTGATTTAACTTCTTATGAAAAAGGTAATGTTTCTTCTCTTGAGATCATTAGCTCAACTCTAGTGCCAAACATGATCAAAGGTTACTGTTATTTGAGATCTGTTGCATCATCTTTATGAACAAAGTAGAAGGTCTCAATCCAGTTTTAACTGAACAACCGTTCTTGTTATAAAACTATCATTAAGTTTGAAAATAACAGGTGGAGAGGACATTAAAAAAGGATATAGTAAAAATATCAGTTAGATAATTAAATATTTGAGAACTATACAGCATTTCCTTGTCACTGGAGAAAGAGGAGCATTTTCAGTAAGCTTTTGTTCCTCTTAATACTGCAAGACTGATGTAACTCTGAGAAGGCAATCTGGTTTGCAGGGTCCATCCCAGGATGTCAGCCCACTGACAGTGCCTGAAGCATTTCTTCTCTTTGGGGCCATAAGGCTCTGCTGGATTTCCATCCTCCTGGGAAAATTACAAGACTTGCAGTTAGATTAAGTAATGTTTATGTAACATATTTGTAATGAACGTCAAACAATAATTTAATATTAGATAAATTTTGCTTTCCTTAGCGGTAATTTTCCATTGATGATGTTATCTGAGTAAACGGAGCAGAACCGCAGTGAAATGCAGAGCCTGACGCAGAGCTCCTCATGCACTCCGTGCCGGGTATTTGGGGATGGTTGTGCCCCTGGTGGGGTCGGGAGCGCGGCGCGGGTGGGTCCAGCGGGCACGGCCGTGCCGGTGCTGCCGCCTCCCGACAGCAGCGGCGCCGGGAGGATCCACCTCAGCCCCCGCTTTCCTCCCGCACTTCATCCTCTCCTCACAAGGCTCCTTTTACATCTGCCAGAAGACACGCACTGTCATGGTCCCTGCCCCAAATGGCTTACATACTCCTGGGTCATCTTGTGATGAGGTTTTACTTTATTATTTATATCTCTTCAGCAGCCCATAAATCCTTACGTTCAGGAAGTAATGGCTTATCATTTTCATGCTACTACAGTTTAAAACATGTCTTAAATTAACTGCACAAGGGTTGTGACCTCACATAAATCAGTGAGCAAACATTTTTTCTCTAGTAACCCTTTCTGCATGCACATCAACACACCCCACTGATGTAAAACTCTCCTTTATGCAGCTGGTGAGACAAGTGATTCTTCTTATTTACCATAAAGTGCATGTGTTTCATGAACAGAGACATTAAGGGAAATAAATAACAATTTTTTCAATGAACTGAAACTTTCTAGGTCTGGCTTGTCCTTGCTATTAATGGAGATTTATTTGTTTTTATTTAAGTTTTTTTTTTTTTTTTTTCTTCTGTGGCCATTGGAGTTTTTTTCTCTTATTAGCAGAAAGATTTTTGCAGAGCTGGGGACATGTGCTCATCTTAAAAGGGAGAGTTAAGAAGTAATCCCATTCCAAGAGCTCCAGCTTGTCCAGAGGTTCTCTCTATGACATGAGCGCATCATTTATAGCCATGACAGTCACAGCATCATTGCAGGAGGGCATGCGGTTATTTACACTTCACTGATGAATCTCAAGCACATGGAATTTTAAGTGGCTGGTCCTGTGCTAAAGTAAATTCTTGCTAAGTTCAGAAACCCAGGTGTCCTCTTGAGCGTCAGTGCAGCTCCTTGTTTATGAAACTGTTGAGGCATTCTCTTGTAGTTAATATAATTTGTTGCAGAATTAATTCAATGTGAATTAATTCAATTTCAGTCTTCACAGGCACACAGATTTGTGTCCTGGTTGCACTTATGTGCCATGAGTTGTGATGTTTTAAGGCTTTTTAAAAGAATGGGCTTTTGCATGAGTTATCATGGACTCCAAACACTTACCCCCCCCCAAGTCTGCACTGCAGTGGCTGTCAAGAGAGTGAACTTGCAGAATTTGGGTGAATTTAGCTCAAATGGAAGTTGTCATGAAGACCAGTCTATAGAGTCACACTTACATAGTCTCAGAGGACACAGATCATGAGGGGTTTGTAAAACATAAGAGTAGAATCACAGAATAGTTTGAGTTGGGAGGGGCCTTTAAAGGTCTTCTAGTCCAAGCCCATACAGTGAACAGGGACATTTCCAACCAGACCAGGAAGTTCATGGGAATGTCTTAATAAATGGGTATAATTTGTAGACACATTTATTCTGTTTCCTTCAAGCACAAACATGAACCTGAAGCCCAAAGGTGACTATCTCCCTTCCACTCCTGTTTTGTTTTTAAAGACATAAGAAACAGTATTAAAAAATATCAGAGTTATATACCTGAGATGTAAATTGGAGGGCCTTTTTTTGTTCATATGATATTATTTTTTTTTAAATTCTGAGCATATCCCCTTCCTCCAGCAGTATTTTGCTCACACAATTTAAATAGTATCATTTGGTATTTCATTACATGTGCAGTTGTTTTGTGTTAAAGGTCTAGAAGTTTGGTCCTCTTGAGAACTGAAATCCTAGAATCAAGGAATTTATCATAATCATCTTCCTTGTAATCTTATTATGTAAGAAACATCGGTACAAAAGAAAATGAGGAAAAAGGGAGTACAAAACTTAGAAAAGGAGCTTTATTGATTTTTTTTTTATTAGAAGTGTGCATTGAAATGATTGAATGTTTTAGTGTATTGAGTATTTTGTAAATTAAGTCATACATAAAAAGAATACATTATAAAATGTGTATTATTCTGCAGTTCTAATGGTAAAATTAGACCATTTGAAAGCATCCATTTGAAACTGCCTATTTTGCCACGTAATCAGTAAAATGAAGTGCTATAATTCAGGCTTCATTAAACCAGCAAGAGAGAAAGTTTTCCGTCATCATTATTTGTTTCAAGTGGTACTTTAAGGTCCTAACCAACATCCATGATGCTAGGGAGTATATACATGGTACAGTACATTCCCTGCCCTAAAAAGCTATCAGATGGAACAATTTGTGTTCTTAGAGGGATAAACCTCACCATTTCAGGAGTTAGCTGGGACTGGAGAAAACAGCAATGGCTGATCCTTGAGCCGCTGTCCTGCCTCCCCTTTTCCCGCATCATGGATTGTGCCAAAGCATCCACATGCACAGACAGGCTCCTGTGGATAGTTGGGTACAATGATAGTCTGCCAGCCTGGCAGAAGTGAGGCTCCAAATGCCATCTGGCATGTAGCGACAGGACAAGGGGAAATGGCCTTAAGCTGAAGGAGTGTAGGTTTAGATCAGATTTTAGGAATAAATTGTTTACTGTGACAGTGATGAGGCACTGAAACAGGTTGCCCAGAGAAGTTGTGGATGCCCCATCCCTGGAAGTGTTCCAGTCCAGGCTGGATGGAGCTCTGAGAAACATGGGATAGTGGAAGGTGTCCTCACCCATGGCAATGGAGTTGAAATGAGATGATCTTTAAGGTCCCTTCCTACCAAATGTATTCTGTGTTTCCATGACTTGTGCCCCCAAACTGCACAAATTCCTGTTTATTGCCTTCCACAGGACCCTGCCTTGGGTGGACTCAGTATAAGAAAGACAAGGAGCTACTGGAAAGGGTCCAGTGGAGGGCACGAAGATAATGATGGGTCTGCAGCATCTCTTGTATTATGAGAGAGCTGGGCCTGTTCCGTCTGAGAGAAGAGAGAAAACTGAGAGGGGATCTCATCAGATGAATCCATTTAAATGTCTCAAAGGCAGGTGCCAAGAGGATGGTCCCAGGCTTTTTTTCACTGGCGCCCGGCGACAGGATGAGGAGCAATGGCCATAAACTAAACCACAAGAAGTTCCACTTCAACATAAGGAAGAAATTCTTCCCATAGAGGGTGGCAGTGCACTGGACCAGGCTGCCCAGGGAGGTCGTGAGTCTCCCTCTGTGCAAACATTCAAACCCCAACTGGAGACATTCCTGTGTCACCGGCTCTGGGTGGCCTTGCCCTGGCAGGGTTGGACTGGACCATCACCAGAGGTCCGTCCAACCCTGACAATTCTGTGATTGAGCTGGCCCAGCCTGCCGACCTTCAGGAGCAAGACGGACACACAGCTTTTGGAGGACAAGTCACCCTTGGGCAGCCCGGTGACCGGACCACCCCTATACGCGGCCGCCGCTGAGGCTGAGGGCGGCCCGGGCCCAGCGCGGCCCCGCCCGCAGCCGCCGCCGTTGCTGCGATACGGCGGCGGCTGCGAGAGCGGCCTGGGCAGCGCCGCGGGCCCGGGCCGCCACAGCCCCGGCACCGGCACCGGCACCGGCACCGGCACCGGCACCGAGCCCGCCGCCTCACCCGACGGCAGCATGGCTGAGGTAACTCGTACCCTGCCCTTCCCTTCCTGTCCCTGGACGAGAGGAAAGCTGCACCTTAGGAAAAGCCCAACATCACCCGTGTATGTTTATGTGTCACCGGTTTGACCTCAGGTCCTGTGTTGAAAGTAGGAGCAATCAGCCTACTTGTACCCCGGCAGTAGTTAAACTTTTCGATTTTAGAAGCAACTGCATGTAAAATCGTGGGTGTGATTCCCGCCCTGCCTCCCCCCTCATTACTGCTCGGCTCTTAACTCTATTCACAATCACAAACACGAAGAGCAAGACTGAAGTAGCTGAAGGGAGCCTACAAGAGAGCTGGAGAGGGACTTTCCACAAGGGCATGTAGTGGGGACAGGACAGGACAGAGGGGAGCAGGTTCAAACTGAGAGTAGGTTTAGATTAGATATTTGTAGAAAATTCTTTACTGTGAGGGTGCTGAGGAACTGGCACAGGTTGCCCAGAGAAGTTGCAGATGGCCCATCCCTGGAAGGATGGTTGAATGGAGCTCTGGGCAACATGGTCTAGTGGAAAGTCCGTGGCAGGGAGTTGGAATGAGATGATCTTTAAGGCCCCTTCCAACCCAAACCATTTTGTGAGTCTGAGGTTTGGAGAGGAGGATGAAATGAGAAGAAAGCTGTGAGTCCCAGAGCAGGCTGGAAGGAGGGACACACTAAGTTTCAGCTCACAGCTCAGATCATTCTTTGATGCTGGCCAGAGCGTGGGCTGCAGGGTTAAAGTTGCCCTTGAGGTTCTTCCCTATCCTAGTGAGACCACCTCAGAGGTGAATTTGCAAGGATTTAGCATCAGAACTGAGCTAGATGAAAAATGTCTTCTGTGTAAGGTTTAACAGTAGCATTTCCCACAGAGGAAGAACTGGATTCTGTTGGCATTACTGGAGCTTTGAGACATGCTTGTCTGCATGTCTCTGGTACTATCTGAATAGAAATCATAAACTAATCAGACTTTAGAGTGTAGAGAACTGGGCAGAATTAGGGCTAAAATACTAGGTTTCCTCAGCGGTTGATGCATTATTCAAACACTATCACAATTATGGTATTTTATAGACTTGTCTTTAAAGCAGTTGTGGGACTCAATTATAAGAACTCTGGCTGCTAAAGCACAAGTTATTTCAGTAAAATTGGAGGAGATGTGTTTGAAAAATATTCTAGAACATGCATATTGTATGCTAGCAGAAGAACTGTTAGTACAGAAAATTTTGTCATGATTTCTTAGTAGCTGTGATACACTCAGTATATTACTTTTTTGTATTCTGGGGTCATAAGTGAGATGTTCAATTCTTCCCGTGTGTTGATTATTTCACTCAGGAAGAGACTGACAATCCATATATAGAAGAAAGTGCCTTTGAAGCACTGGAAAAAGACTCCCAGGAATTCATCAGTATACTGAACAGAGATGAAGCTCTGGAAAAATTCCGTGTCGAATATGAGAAGCTCCTTGCTGTTATGAAGAAGTCTCGTGAAAATGAAAAGCACCTCATGGAGAAATGCAGGAAGCTGAGTGCTGAGCTGGTGGAGAAGTCATCTAAAGTAGCTGTGCTCACCAAACTCACTCATGATGATGGGGAAACTATATCATCATTGAAATCGGTAAAGTTTTGAATAGAATGAAGTATAATCTTAAATTGTTAATGGAAAACATGGTAATAAGAAAAGCACCAGTAAGAACATTTGATTTTGTGTAGACAACTAGCTGGAGGACTAAGCATAGAGCTGGCATCTCCAGTTGTTTAACCTCTGCTTTGCTTTGTTTGCTTAGCCTGGTATATTTACAGGTTTCAGTAAATTTATGTGTTTATTTGCACTAAACCAACTCAGTCAGCTTTCAAGTACTTACTAACAGTTGTCTAAGCTTTCCCTCTGTAAAATGGCACATTTTCAAATTAATGTACTGTTTTTGATTCATTATGACATTTGAAAGACTGCTTGGATGTTAACTATTGCCAGAACATTAAAAAAAATCTACTTTTTCTTGAAGTATAGATTTTAGGCTAGGGAAGTGACAACTTATGTAAATACATGTTTCACAATGCTTTTGAAAAGGACTCCTATATAGCATTTCAATGTGATTTCACCAATTTACTCTGATGTGTTTGTTATTATTGATTTAAACTCTGTCAAATTGAAGTGCTTGGCTCACTAAAAAAAGTTGATGTTTTTAGGCTTACAGTGAATTTCACTATCAGAAACCTAAAGCTGCCAAGTGATCATAAGACTGTATGTGGAACTTCTTCATTCTGGTGGTTTAAAAACTTAGCTTTGTGGTACCTAGATAGGCTTTAATTTAGCACTTATTTGGGAAACTTCCATGCCTTACAGTAAAGGGTTTTGTTCCAGTAAAATAAAATCAGTGTAGCAATGCAGAGTGATTTTTGAGCACTACAGAAATAGAAGTTCTTTGAAATGAAGTTTCTTGTCCTTAGAATTATGAAGAAAATACTTTAAGAGTAAATATAAATAGCATCACTTTCATCCTATGGCTGCAGCTTGCAAACCCGTGGTACTGCCCAAAGCCCCTTCAAGGAGGAGGAAAAGCATGGAAAATCATGTTGATTTTCACTGCAGCTAATCAAAACCTGGTAGATGAACATCAGGAACCACAATGATCCTTACAATTTCCTTTTTGCAATTACATGGCAGTACTCTGTGTGTGAACAGTAGGAGAGGTGATCGTTCAAGATGTTCCCTAACTGAGGAGATGTCTTGGTAACGTCATAGAACTGAGGAGCGGAAATGTTGGGAAAATAAGAGCCTTTCCAATTTCAGCAGCTAATTTTAAGCTCAAGCAGGACATGACTGAACCATATCACCTACTATTGAACCCATTAAGTGATTTTCTAGTGAAAAAGCTGCTTTACAATATGATCCTGCTAGAAATGATGAGCAATGCACAACATGGGACATTTCATTTCTAGTGGTGTGCTGTGAGCCAAGTATACAGCTGATACTTTTTCAGTTTGGTTGTGAGAATTAGTCCTTCTCTTAAAAGTTCAAGAATTATTTGGATATTGTTTAAATTGCTCATGGCTTGTTTGAGATTTTGCTTGGTAAATCCTTTATATTCCATGTTATTCTTCTTTCTGAAGGAAAGTTCTATTAGAGTTGTAATATTTCACTACAATTTTGTTAACATTCGAAGTTTTTCCCATGTATCCAAGCTAAATTTTGAAGGAAGTTCAAGTGGTAAAGTAGCCAAGATTATATTCTTCAGTGCTAAATTAAACAAACAGTCTGTCCCACAATTTAATTATTTATAAACCATAAAAGAATCCTGATGGGGCTGTTCTTGTAAAAATGGAACAGTTGCTGTAAAAATGGAATAGTTGCTCCAAATTAAGACCCTACATCTTGGTGACTTGATGGGTCATTAGGGTAAGAAATAAAAGTTGCAGAATAAAATTTGTTCTCCATGTGAAGTGTTTGGGGCAGGGGTTAAGCACACAGATCAGTGGCTGGTAGGATGTGGGTCAGTGATAATCAATAGCTGTTAACTGTCAGGTGGCAGTTAAAGGATCTGTTTTGTAGTTTTAATAAACTGGACATAACAATCTGCTTCTTAAAGTCTTACCAAAGGAACAAAGGGCCAAGCTAATAATGAAGGGAATTCAATTCTATTTTTCATGGCTAGGGACACTGATCCATGAGTCTGCACTGGAAGAATGCTAGAAGAGGAATTTATAGGTGCTTGTGCTGCCCTGATTGAAATTACCAAATTTTCAATTTCCAGGCATATAAATCCAATATAATAAGAAAATTCAATATAATAAGAAATTTCATTAATTCTCAGTTTCTGAGCAATGAAACTGATGTGATCTTTTGGGGTATTTGATGCAAGTAAAGTAAACCAGTCACACTTCATAAATTCTGCTTCACAGGTTTCAGGGTTCAGTACTTCTCCAAAGATTTTTGAGTTATTCTAACAGCAAACATCCAGTGTACTTCCTTTAATTATGCAGCATACTGGCATGCATTACCTACCTGTCTTGTACTGCAATTACCCCGTGATGCTGACACACTGCAATATTTCACACTGAATAACAATGTGAATATTTCTTCTATTAAGACTTCCATCAGCAAAATTTTGCTCCTTTTTACTTCTGAAAATAAGAGATCTATTGATCTGCTCTTACAGCAGAAGACACAACCAAGGAGCAACTACAATGAAGCTCAGTTTTGCTGATGCTGAAGTCTGTAGAAAATTCTTGTTTAGATTTTGCTTATTAGTGTGGCCATTGCCTGTGTCTTCTTACTTTATTGATAAAAATTGGTATTATCAATACAAATTCAATACAATATCTTTTACATGCCAAAGATAAAGTTCAAAAAGCTCAGCTAAGGGTGACCTGAAATCAGTGCTTATCTGAATGGTCTCATTGACTTCAAGAGATCACTTTTGCAGATACTCATCAGAACAAAAGACTCTCTGAAGCCATGAAAGCCTTTCAGAGGCTTATTGATTTTATTCACCAGTCCTATTCCACAAAACTCAAATTGTAATGATTTAATTAACCAATTTTAATCACAGTCTAATCAGCCAGCAGGAAGCTCTGATGTAAGTAATCAGCTTTAATCTCATTTTCAATTTGCATTTTTCTAGAGAAAGGATGGTTGCCTCTTACGGGTTGACAAATCTGAAACACATTTATTTAGTTATATATTATGCTTTCCTGCTAGTCAACATGATACATGTCTTCGTGCCATTATTTCAGAGCAACATGTATTTATTTAAATTTCAGAATTTACCATTTTTTGTGTAAGATATTAATGAATGAAGAACTTGTAATTTATTAGATAATACTGCTTTATGTATGATCATTGCTGCATTGAATGGAAATTAGAACTCAAAATGCATGACAAAAAAATTTATATATAAAACTGTTTAAAAATGCTTGATACATAAGTGAAAAAGCACATTTTTCAGGCTAAATTTTGAACTACATAATTTATTAAGTAATGAAAATACTGTTTGTAGGTAGGGAGTTTAATTGACTGTAATTTCAGAATTTCTGAGCAAGGAAAGCCCATTGTTTACCTCTTTATTAGTATGTGTGGGAAAAAAAGGAAGAGCAAAAATTCCTGATCTTTATGTTCCAGATGGTTTCTCAAATTTGGATATGCTGAGCTAGTTGAATAAATAAAATAGGAATGTATTCCCTCTGCAGTTTGAAGAGGCTACAGATGTCGTACTTTGTGTTATCTTTCAGCAAAATCTCGTAGCCTGTTACTTCTGCTAGTTCTATAATTTGAGCTTTTAATTTTTAAGAGTTCCATAAGTATATTAAAAATATAACATAGCTGTCGTAATTTAGAGTTTAACATTAAATAGGGCCTTTTTTTTTTTTAAGAAACAGGGATGTCAATTACAATAAAGAATTTCTCTAAACAATTTGATATAAATTAAATTATTTTGTTTTCTTCCTTGTGGAGATGGCTTCTAAAGTATTTTGTTCCTGCCCCAATTTCATATGATGCAAGTAGGAGTTGAAAGGGATATTATGGCCTAATATAATGATGCTTCTATTTGACTTTCCTTGGGGAGACCCTAGAGCTAATGTAGAACTGCACAGCTACACTTGGGGTCTGAATCTGTACAAGTTCATGAAGTCCTCTGCTAGGAGCCAGCTGAGAAAAGAGCATCATGCTGTTATTTGAAGCTTAGGGACTTCTAGTGTAAATGTAGAATCTTCATGATTTACTGAGACTTCAGGAGCTTTCCTTCCAGTCCAGTCGCTTGCTGAATTTCTGCATTTTTTTTAGCACAGGATTCCAGAAATGGTAGGAGCTTCATTTGAACCTTGCAAGGAATAAGCCTTTTTTTTTTTTTTTTTTTTTTGCTTCATAAGGGTCTGATTCAAGGGAGAGAGATGCAGAGGAAGTTATAAAATGCAATGAATCCTCCTCCCCTGTCCCTGGGCTTGTGAGAGGCACACAAATATGTCATTTAAGTAACTCCATGTGCTAAAATTTGGCATAAGAATTGTGCCTTGTCTAAAAAACTTGTTAAAATCAAATTACACTAAGTCCTCACAGATGAAAATTAACCAAGAGGAAGAAAAATTGAGTAACACGTTTTTCTCATCCAAATCAAATTGGATGCTCATTGTCCTAACAGCTAATTGGAATTTTACAGACATGAGTTATTTAAGTAGATGATACCTTTGTGGGCACTGAATTGTTAGTAAATTTTTACTGATATTGGTGGTACTCATGTGATCATAGCCTCACAGCGTCTGTGCCCTCAGCTAAAACAAAAGCTACCAAGTGAAGGGGAATGTTGTGAACCTAATCATGAAAAGGCACAAAATCTATTTTTGCAAATAAGCAGAGTATAAGGCAATTAATTTCTAATTTGTGGTTATTTTAAAACACAATTTAATTTATGTAATTATTTTCCATTTCATTTCTAGGAGCTTGAAAAGGCCTGGAAAATGGTGGATAAAGCCTATGAAAGGGAACAGAAAACTAAGGAAACAATTAACTCACTGAAGAAAGAAATTTCACACCTAAATAATTTAATGAAGGAAAGAGCTGGACATGAGTACAAGTAAGTTTTTCTTCAGGGAGAGGGAAAGCCTGATCTGATTTTCTATCATTGTACCTTGTTTAGCCATGTAGACACAGTGGAAAACATAGATATTTTCTGTCTTTTACTTTTCTCATGAATACACGTTTATTTGTCTGTGTGTTTATGCAGTGAGCACTTACAGAAGCAGGCTCTGACTGAGTTCATTCAGTGTTGGATTAAGCTGAAAGATCAAATAAAATGAATACTATGCACTTTCTCAGTATGTGTCATATTGTTTTATCTGACAAACTCTTCAGCATACTTTGAGAATAGGATCCTGTCAACATTTTTACATTTCACAGCAGCAAGGTCAAGTATATAAATCAGGAGGGCAGGACACTTGATTTCTCTTTTGTTCCTAGCTTTATTGTAGGGCTTTAACACTGTCTGTGTTCTTGTTTGTATTTTATACACTTTCAAGGTTATGTTTTGGTTTTTTTAACCAAACACACATAGAGGGACCTAGTCTGAGATGGAGCCTCTGAGCCACTGCATTGTGCACATATTAATTATCCTCTGAAGCTGCTCAGAAGCTCTCCAGAACCTACTGTTTGTAGTATTGGGTCCTCAGAGACTGTTTATGCTGTAACATGAACTTAAACTCAAAGATAAGATTAAGTGTTTTGACCCTATGGCCTCTGCACTTTCTACTGAAATTGCAGGTGGTTGGCCTGCCTGATTATGGCTTGAAATTTTCACACTGTTTAAGGTATTTATTTGCAATATGCATGAGGATATGTATGGGACATACTTGTCCCTGCCCTCTCTGGGTATCCAGGCTGCAAAAACAGGAGGCCTTCAGTGTGCTCAGGCACCTCCCTCCCCAAGGAGTGTGCCAGCACATAAACCACCTGGGTCCATGACAAATCCACTCCTTCACCTTTTGTCCCTGACACCTTCTGGACCTGTTTAACAGTTTTCCTTGGATCTAAAACCATGGTAATTCAACCTTCCCTAGTATGTCTCTTCTTGAAGTCTTCTCTCTCTAGCTGCTTTTTGCATTTTCCTGCAAGAGCCAGGAGCTGTTACTTTGCCAACACGTCACTCCTGTTTCCTACTCTGTCCAGGCTGCTGAGACCTGCCAGTGTACAATTTCTTCTTGAAGCTCCCTCTGTATTGCCCTCCAGTTCTGTGCTTAAATACACTGTCCCGTGACAAGGCCATGAGACTAAGTAACTCCTTTGCAGATTTCAGCCTTGAAAACCCAATAATCTTTTAGAACAATTAGACTGCTTTCAAAGACTGAGCTTGAACCCACAGCTTGGACCACCTTTCATATTGTAAATGCGTCAAAACAGTCAGTTTTTATTTTTACATTATGTGACTGTAAGACATAACCTAGTTAAGTGTCCAGTCAGGTGAGGTGCAGAGAGACAGGTTACAACAGTGTAACATTTTTGGTCTCTGACTAGTTTTGCAGTGGGTATAGAAAAGGGAATTTTTTCCCCTCTTCCATTTCTGGGAAATTGAAGGTTTATTCAGACCCATGAGGATGTGATACAACATGAAAGAGTTTTGACTTGGCTGATGGTCACTATAGTCACAGTAAATCAACTATATAATTCAGTTGACCATCAATCTTCATATAGAGGAGTTTAAAATGAAAAAAAAATAAATTAAACTCCTCTTTCTCACTAAAGTCTTTGTCTGGCATAGGAGGAAGAAGAGAAATGGCCTATGACATTGCTTGACTATTATTTCCTTGCTTCTAGTGTTGAGGATTTGCTAAGACTTCAAGAAGAGGTAACAGAAGAGCGAGACCAACTGTTATCAGAAGTTGTGAAGTTGCGTCAAAGTCTCACTGAGATCACAGAGCAGCAACAGGAAACAGAAAAGGCAAAAAATGAAGCAGAGCAATCCGTTTTGCAGGTCTGTACTGATCACCAGATGGTGGTTTTAGGCTTTGTCCTGAGCCTTTCTCACACTTGCAATTCATCTCCTAGGAGGCTACCACCTGTTCTTTTGCATCTTAAACATTTTCAGGAGTGCTCTGAGTGGACTCTGCTGTGAATGACTTTTGTATTTTTCTGTAGTTCTAGGCTATGTACCTTGCAAAGTGTATTGTTACGTTGTACAGCATTTGCTGGTTCCACAGCTTCCCAATACCCCAGTGAGGCTAGGGTTGATTCTTGTGAATTGTAATCATATTTAATGCTGAAGAAATGGGATGCTTTCTATATTGTTAATCCTTATGCCTCAAAAGAGACACTTAGAACATCAGCCTGGAATGGAGATTCTTGGTCCCTTGCTGTTGGCTGTGGTTGCCATATTATGAGATACCATCATTTTAAAGAATGTATCAAAATCTGACTTAAAAATAATGAAGTTATTTTGTCCCCTCTTCTTTATGGGAAGCTTTTTCCAGATTCTTACTTTTTCATGGTTAGGTACCTCCTACTTTCTTCTTTACTCTGATTCTGGATTACTGCTTTTCCACTTAAATTTTTCACCACACAATTGTCTGTAGAGAGCAGTCATACTCCATCTCTGCTTTACATGAAGTCAGGCTTTCTATTTTTCTGACCATCTGAGTAAACAGTTGTTCTTTGTGATCAATATGTATGGCTTTCTTGAAATGTATAGAGCAGCTAGAGATAGAGATCAGTGGGATAGCCACTGAATGGAAAGTAGAAAAAGATGAAAGATGGGACACAGAACTCTGATATATCAAATATATAAGCATAATAATGAGAAATGAAAGAATTAAAGCAGAATATAAATAGGGACTGGAACAAGACACCAGGAGAAAGGAAGAGTAGAAAATCACACTCAAACAAAGAACAGAGAAGACGTAGAAGGAGCATTTGGCTTTCAGTTTTTTATAAATCACGAATAGAAAAGTAATGATCAGTCTAGGTTTCATGCACAGAAATTGTTTATATTTATAAAGCAGAGGACTGGTAAAGTACAAGAAGAGAATATAAAATCTTTGTTTTTCTGACAGCATTGTGGGCATGAGAGAAAAGAGTCAAAACTTGTTGAATCTTGGCAGCCTTAATCTTCTGATACTCACTTCATCAACCCTTAAATTTAGAGAATTGTTACAGCATTTGTAATCACCTCCCATTCTCCCAGTATGAAATTATTCTCTTCTTCAAAGTGCTTAAATGACAATGCCTCTTTGAAGATCCTGTTGAAGACCCTGTTAGTTCTGGCAACTTTTCATCTGTGGACTCAGAGAGGGAAGAATCCTTAAGCAAAGAACATCTTTCAATTGCTAGTCCCTGGCTGAACTGAATATTTCCATATGGATCAGCCCCCTGTGTCTCCTCTCTGCTGATTCTGCTCCATCAAATTTTTGTGGAGAGGGAGAGCAGGAGTCACAAGACAGTCTATTAAATATGAGAAAATTTTCCTCTTTCAGAGTTCCCACACAAGAACTTTGAGAGTAGAAAGATTGAGACCAGTTGTGAAAATGAACATCTCTCTCCTTTAATATCCGTGAAATAAGTGTTTCTGCTAGTCAGAGAGAATAATAAAAAGAAGAAAAGTCCTAGCAATACAAAATCAAGACCCAATTAATTTTAATGCTGCATTCAGAAAGTACCATTTTGCAAGTAACTTATAACAGTAAAGACATTTATGCCACTGTAATTCCAGAAGAATGCTTTTATGTTTGGACTGTATCAGACCCTTCTGTTTGGGTGAACTGAATGATGTTTAACAGATTTTTGTCATCAATAAATAGGGCCCTCATTCAGAATATTTTGTTCAACCATTAGAAAACATAATTACTTCTGAGAAGATCTGGCATACATTGGTGGTTGCAGTAATATAGAAGCTCTTGTTTTTAAAATCAAGCATAATCAGAGAGGTGAGAGGACTTGTTTTCCTGAGTAAAAGGCAGCAGAATTTAAAATTGTTTTCTTCTCTATTATTATAGCTTCAACAAGACATCCAGCTGCGTCAAAGCGAGGAATTACGAGAGGCACGAAAGAAAGAAAAAATGGAGACTGAGCTGAAAAATCTTCTAGCTGAAATGGATAACAAGCAAGCTGAGGTCCAGAAGTTACAGCAACAAATAGAGAACAACAAAGAGGAACAACTGAAAATAGAAAATAATCTTAGAGAGCAGAAGGTAGGGTACATGGCACACTGTATTCATCAGGTCTAAGATTAGAGTAAAATCTGTAATTAAGAAGAAAATGGATTTTTCTGAAAGGAGAGGGAGGGAGATTAAGGTAATACATTTTAATAAGCATTTATTTTTATATAAATATTAATTTACTAATAAATAAGTATGTAAAGCTTGCTGAAAGATTTCAGATAGATTTCTCACAGAAGTCGGTAGTGGATCGCAATGATATTGTTCATCTGGAAAAATCAAAGCAAATGAGACACAGTCTATGAAGAACATGGATGATCTATAGGAGCAGGAGACTGCCAGGTTGGACTTCTGACTATATTGCCAGCTTTGCTATTGATTGTGTCTAGTGGGATTTGGTAAAATAATTTTACCTCCATCCCCTTCTTTCTTCTTTTTCACAATAATTTTTATCTGCCTCTCAAGCCTGTGAAAGGGCAAGGAAATGTTTTCATAAACCTTTTTGATTGATTTTCCTCATTCTGTTTCTAAAAACTTTATCTGGCCATGTCCTAACATAGTGTTCTGCAAGTGTGTGAATTTTCAGGTTTTCAGTCCATTTCCCCTGACTTTGAGATACTCTCAGAGAAGCAATTTCAGTAAATGGCAGGGGAGATCTCATCACTGTAAACCAGTCCTACCTCAAGGGAAACTTCCTTGTGAGTTGTGTGTATCTTGCAAATTTATAACTTTTATGGCTTTTTCTTCCCTTCTGGTCCTTGAATTTGAGAAGGTAGAGTTCTCTGCCAATTTTTAGTCAACACAGAATCTTAATAAAATACTCAAAAAAGAGATCAAGAGAAGACTTGATTAATTATCTGAATATCACTGATTTAATGCAGCTTTTGAGGGCAGCTCCATCATCTGCCATGACAATCACATTGTATACACAATTCCTCATTCTGTTCCATTCTTCCTCCTTTTTATAGTCTCTTTCAGCCTTTCAAAGTGTAGATTTTAGGGACATTCAATTATCCAAATTGCCCTGGAAACCAAGGGTTCACATAAAGTGCTGTGTGTGGGCTAATTAACCAGACTTTTGCATTTTCTTCCTTGCCTGTGCTGGCTTGAAGGTGTCTGTGAATGCCCTAAATGGTCTTTTGCTTGAAGTCTGTCCAAAACACAGGCTATCCAACTCAGCAAGGGTCAGGGTAGAAATCTTCAAAAGAAGGTAAGGCAGCTATTACAATTTCATCAGGTTATTGTCTCAATTCAGTTGTAGTTGGTGTGATGCCTGCTAATCTTTTATTCTTATTTTATAAGAATTTTCTAATGAATTACCCTTTCTCACGTGGCATTGAAAATGGTTTGATACAGCAGCTATAAGCTTTATGCCACCCCTGTCCAAGACTCAATAAAGGGTTTCCTGAAACAGTGTTATCCTGACATTTGCAATATAAAAAGGAGCATTCCTTGTTTTTACACTAGATTTTATTTCTCTTCCTTTAATGTTTTTTAAAGGCGCAATGTATACTGACTTCATCAGGAGTGAAAAATATGATGGTTGTTCTTTCCTTATTTTTATATGTAGTATCTGCAAGGAAATTTCCATCAAGCAGAAGATAAATCTGGTAGCTTCAGTATTGAAATATATGTTCTGTATAGAAACCACAAAACCACCACAAAACCATTTGTTTAACTGAAGACAAATTAAAGAGAAGCAAACCATGTACCCAGAGAAATGTTATCAGCACATTAATGTAGGATGCTTGCTCATAAAACAGAGCTCCCCTGCCCTCTGCTGATTGAAGTGATTTGAATCTCATACTAATTTTCAGTAATTATATGTAGCAAGCTCTATTATGTGATGGTTGCCAAATGTCTAACAAGAAGTAAAATATCTATTTACCACCTGCAATAAACACCTGCTAAGCTTCCAGAAAAAAAAAAAATACACTGGATCTATTGTTCATTAGAAATTATGATTTTTCCATGTCATTATGACAATGTATCATATTTAGTAATATTAGTAATTTCATTGACAGTGAAGGCTGGTTTTTAAGCAGACATTCTGCAGCAGCTTTTGTCTCCTGGGTAGCAGGAAGGTTCAGTCTTCAGGTGTATGTAGGTATTGTAATGAGATTTTGAAGAATTAATATAATTGTTCTTTAATCTAACAGACCTTGAATGAAAAAGCTGGTAAGGAACTTGAGCAATTGAAGATGAAATATCAAAAGCTCACACAAGAGAGTGAGCAGCAGAGTGCAATGCTTGATGATGTGATGAAGGACATTGGTCAGAAGACCACACAACTGAAAGTAAGTTCCAGAAGGTTCATCCTACCAGCTGTATCATTCCAATGAAATCTTACCACCTGGGACAGGGATGACTTCAGTTCTTGTCCTGATAGTTCCCCATGGGCAGTTTTGGAGGAAACGTGAGTAGTATTTAGGAATAGATCTGGCTGACGCTGGATGCCATTCTTTCTATGGCTGGTAGTCTCCAACCCTCTCATCTGGCAATGTAGCACCTGTTCTCCCGGAGGAGTTGTTTCATAAAACACATGAACCAAAATGTTCAACACCCTGTTCATGAAGGATGGGTGGTCACAAACATGGGGTCTCTTTTAAATCCTGAGATCTTCAAATAGGAGGGATGATTTTACAATAATTAACGTAATTTGAATTTTGCCAAAATCCATTGAAAAATGGTTATAAATTATAACAATGGCGTCCTGGATAGTTTCCACTGAAGGCAATTGCTTTCAACACTAAAATTTCTTCCCCTTCATTATCAGTTGAGAAAGTTAAATATAAGTAACCAAGATGGTTTACTTTCAGATCTAAAGGTTTTTGTTGCCTGACTTCACATTACTTAACAGTCATTTTATACAACTCAGAAGCAGATGAGTTGCTATTAAGGAAGAATTAAAGGATTCATGCATAATCTTTTTAGGGTATTTTGAGAACACTTGACAAAGGTTAATGTATAAATGTTGGATGCTATTATGTTATTTTCCATGTCTTGCATTTTGTGTCACCATTGGGGTTAAAAAATTAAACATTAGAAAATTCAGGTAGAAAATAATTATCTTCTTGAGTTTTATTGAGTATAACTAATTCACCTGAATAAAAAGCTTGTTTGCTTGTTAGTCTGATAGAAACTAACCCCTGACAGATTAAAAGCTCAGTTCACAACTAATACAACATAGATGATTCTAATTTGGATGCTTAATGGAGGATGATAGGAGCTTTCTTTCTGTTAGTCAAACTGAAGGCTCTTTTTCTTACTTATTTGAAAAACAAATTACTGTCTTTTCCAGGTTATCCAGTTTTATCATTATCAATGCCATCATTGTTTAAAACTTTACAAATATGACTTACATCTGGGAGTGTCAGAGGATTTTGAATATATGTTCTTATCCTGATTTCAGGAAAAGTTGATGAAACTTTCAGAGTCATGCTCAAGGACTTCTGGGAACAAAAATATAGAAGATACTGCCCAGTTAGTAGTTAATCCAGCTGCTAAAGGTTAAGAGCCATAGTCATTATCTGGGGTGCAGTTTTTGTAGGGGTTGTACCTGCAATATCATCCTACAGTGTGCTGGGCAATGTGAATTGTCAAACTACTCTTAAACCTCTTGAAGCTTATTGTCAGTAAGAACTGAGGAGATTCCCATTCTCCCAGAGGATGCTTCATAGGAGGATTTCCCTTCTCACAGAATCAGTATCTGAGGCCGTAAGTGGAACACTGTCGTCTGTGATGGCTGTAAAACCTAGCAGTGGCACTGAATTATAAAAGTTCTGCTTGCTTCTTAAAAGGAAAAAGTCTGATTGCTGTTGAGATTATTGGCTATGTTTCCCAGTAACCAATTATGCAGTATTTTGATTGATTATTTTTTCCTCTATTACATAGCAAATGAGACAGACTCTGGATTTTGCTATTAATTTAAAACCACAGGTTATAAAAGGGATAGGGATAACACATACCTGCTATTTAGGGACATGCAATCAGACCACACTATGGATATCTTTCTCATCACAATCCCTGTGCCTAATACTTCAAATGAAAATAGAGCTGACTGTTTTTAATCTACTGGACTAATTGGGTAGTGCTGTGTGAAGCTTGCGGCTCGAGGTTCTTTGTTGATCATCTTCAGCCCAGAAGTGTAAGATTTGATTATAATTTTCTTCTCCCAAGCTGGCTTTCTTTAAATTATTTTAAATATTTTTCAATTAGCTAATTATTTGTCTGCAGCTGACCCACAACACTTATATGTTTTCTTCCTGAGTTACATGGAGTAAGTGAACACTAAACAATAAAGCATTTTCTTCTTTCTTTCTGTGGATGCTTTCTCTCCCCTTTCCTTGTTGCTATTCTGTAGGAGTTAGAGGATGAAACAGCTCAGATGAGCCTTGAAATTTCAAAGCTGAGCAAAATGAGAGATGTTCTCCAGAGTAAGCTGCGTACTGCAGAGGAACACAAAGTTGATGCAGAACATGAAAAAAGCATTCTAAAAAATCAAATAATCAGACTGGAGAAAGGTAGGTGCCTAAGAGATAGGTGGATCTGTTTTCTGAATTCTTTTAAGTTATTCTATGTACCCAAATAAGCATTAGCATCAGCTAATGCATTCGGTTGTAAAACCTGTTCAAAACTACTTGAACTGGTTATGTAATGTCAAGGCTTTAAAAAAAGTCCATTAAATTGTTTCTGCATTTTTAACAGCTGTACAATTTGAACCCAGAATTCACTGTCTTTCCTCTTTTTCTCTAGAGTTGGAGACAGGCAAAAAGCAGGCAGAGACTGACAAGAGAGCCATAGATGGGCTTGTGAGGGAAAGGGATATGCTAAACCAGGTGAGTTTGCATTGGTCATTTGATAACCCTCACAGCTTGAGAATGAAATGCCTGTAGCTTAAACATTCACAGCAACACAGAAATCTAGAATACATAAAGTTAAGTTAAAGCCTTCAGATTTCCTTAAGCAGATGTACAAACTACTTTTTTTCTGTGCACTGAAATAGTGTTAGTATCCATAAACACACAGAAGATTTCCAAATTTTAACATATAAACCATCAGGGAGTTCAAACCTCAAACCCATTATTTGGTATCTGAAGAGTTTGCTATATCTGTGTTTTTACACTCTGTATCTTATGAAGTTTAGTACTAATCTAGGCAAACTGTTTGCTGATAGAAGAACAACCAGAGTGTTGATACACTTTGTAGCAGCTTGGCAGGCTGTTTGAGTAGTAATCCTTGCTTTTAGATCTGTTTCTCATACTGATTATTTCCCATCAGCCCAAGGTTCTTGTACTGCAGTATAGAATCTCATGTTTATTGGCAGTTCTGAAGTTTTATCTACTAAATTCAGTGCTAAAAGATTATTTCTGACATGCCTTATTTGGTGTAGAATCACTGTCCTGTGATCTAGCAGAGGCTCTGATTTGACAGGTAACAAATATTTGTTTTTTAAAGGGAAGGAAATTTTAAAGTGGGACAAGGAGGCTGATTTTGTAAAATGATACGTTGATGTTTTCTGTTTAATCTTTATGCAAAATGTTAAAGTAAGCTTGGTTAATTTCAAGCTTGTACTTTCTATTGAAGACATGAGAAAGAAATGTATTTGGCTTTATTATTAATGTTACTGGCTATTGGCAAGCTTTGCAATCAAAATCTGTTAAAGCTGGTAAGGATTTTCCAGTCATTACTTATATCCACTTGTAAACAATCCTGTCAATTTTATTTTTTGTAATGCAGACACTAGTGTTTAGCTTGAAATCAGAAAAAGCTCTATTTGGCACCTGTGCTAGAGATTTTGTTTTTTAAATCCGATTTAAGGTTCAAGTATTTCAACGGAACAATTAGATAAGGAATAATAACATTGAAAAGTCCATAATCCACTTTGACAGTGGCATGCTTTTGTCATAGTGGTGACATTGTTGCATTTTCAGCTCAAGACTCATTATTTTTTGTTCCCATTAGAACTTGATCAAGGCTGCAAATACTACTCAGAAGCAGATAGATTTGATGAAGCTCCATGAACAGTCAAAACAGAACTTGGAGTCAGAAATCCAAAATTATAAGATAGAAGCTCAGAAACAAAGGAAGATTATTTACCAATTGGAGAAGGAGAGAGAGAATTTCATCAAGGAAATGAGCGAGCTCAAAGAGAAGGTAGGAACAGCTCTTTGTGCAAGGGGTTCTTTCCTGTCTTACTCTCAGAACTGCGAAGATGATAGATTAATTTTCCTAACATGCCAGTAGGAGAAAGCTTGGATTGGTGATCTTCATACAGTGTACAAATATTTCTTGCTCTCAATGCATATTGCCTGCTAGTACTTCAGTCCACTCTAGGGAAAGCTTATCAATTGGAGAGACTTGTTTTTTTCTGTGAGAGACTTGGAGTCCAGCCATGTATTGCTCTTATTCAGCAATCAGTTGTGAAATGAAGCTAGGGCTGGAATTCAAACCAAGGCCTCTTGACTTCTTATACATGAATCCCACAGCTGAAACTCTCATATGCAGTTGGAAGTTATACTTTGATTGTCCTGTCTTATCTGCAAAGGACCTTATCTTGCATATGACCATTGTCCTAAAATTGAGGCCAGTGAGACCTAACAGTGCTCAACATCTTTGTAAGGTACTTAACATTTTGAAGGCTTACTTCAGTATGTGAAAACGTCTCAGCATGTTCAAGATAGATGGCAGGACAAGTTTTCCAGGAGCAGCTGCAGAGAAATACTGCATAAAATTTGTGTTGCCTGCTGCCCATCATTATATATAACTTTATTCCTGATGAATTAAAATCAGGAACATGTTTTTAACATGTTCCATTAATTGCTGAGTATCACATTGGAGAGCCCACCAAGGAGCTCATTGATTTACTGGGATTCGCTTCCAAGCAGTTTGAACTCAAAAGTTATTTGCTATCTTTTCACAGTAAAATTATCCTTCCAACTTCATTTGACCAAGGGCTTTTAAATCATTTTGGAATGGTGTATGCTTCATTGCCCGGAATACCTCTTGTCATTTCCTTGTAAATAATATTCCACAAAAGTGAGATTTGTCTTTGTTGCAAAGTCATATTTTGCTTCTTTCCCTCATAGTGCATTTATAACTCTGTAGATATGAGTTAAGAACATTGTAAACTAGGGCCAGAGAGTAATTCATAACATTCAGAACTACAAGGCTCTTTCTTTTAATTCTAAATGGGGTTGCCCATTGTATTTTGAGGGTGAGAATGACAAATGTTTGTTTGCTTACTTTTTCTTTTTTTCCACCTCTACTTTGGGTGTAAATTTTCTATCATTTCGTGTAAGGCAGAGAGTTGGTAAATTACTTATGACATTTGAGCTGTTTGTATAGTCATGCCTGCATTGTGACTGCAACTTTCCAAAGGACTGGCAGGCTTCCTTGGCTCACCAAAGGGGCAGTTCCTGACTCTGCTTACAGGTGAAGAGCAGCAAGCTTTGAGCACGGGAGTATGTGAGACAGCAGTCTTTTCCTTCAAGTCCTAATGCAGGGTAGGAGGATAGAAGATCAGGATTATTATGTAAATAGGTAATATTTAGGTTCACTGTTTGACCTATTTAGACTTGAGAAGCTGTGTCAAAACTACAGGAGTCATTTCACAGCTGCTGGGGAATGAACTGGCAGTAAGGCTATGGCCAGTCAGTGCTCCTCTGTCACCTTTTGCCACCAACCTGGTTTTGCAGGAGGTTGCACCCCACATTTAGAATTGCGTAAGAGTTGGAAAAGAGCCAAACCCATCTAAGCACAGAGATGTAGCTATTCTGGCTCTGAAAGCTGTCTGGCTATTTATAGCCAGAATATACATACTCTACAGAACTGCAGATTGTACCTTTCAGAATCATCATTTCTAGGCACGTAGTTTGTGGTGATTGGGACTGGGGCTGTGGCTGAGCCCCATCTCCAATGGGCACAGCTGTGAGCAGCAGGAGAGCAGCACTGACAGCAATGAGCCATGGAGTGCCCAGGGGCACTGACCAACCACCAGAGGGACAGAGGAGCAATGCATGAACATAATGGGTGTAGAAGTTTGGGCTGAAGAACAAGAGGAGCAGCCCTCTGAAGTGACATGATGTTCCTCTGTATGGGTGGATGCCTGAAGCCTTCTGATGTGGTGTGGTGTTACTCTGTTTGGGCAAATGCTTAAAGCTTTCTGAAATGGTATGGTGTTACTCTGTGCATCATGCCCATCCTACTGTGACAAATGTTTACTATTAACTGATGAACAGTATCAACACAATTATATACACAACAGTAAAATATTTTTAGGGTGAGGGTTCATGCATGGCTTCCTCCTCTAACTATTGCCTTGGCTGACTGCCTATTTTCAAGTCACTGCTACTTGTTGGAAAGTCTTACTTCTAGATTAACCAGTACAAGTAAGAAAAAACATCTGTTCCTTGTGCTTTGTTATGTAGCCTGAATTACTGAGTACAACTTTTAGCAGATTTTTTTTCCTTTTTAAATTGAAATTCTTAAATTTTGAAATGTTGGTTTCTCTGTGTAAGGTTTAGGCTGCTGAAAAGGAGGCAGTGGAGTATACCTTTCAGTTCCATCTTAACTGTTCCCTAGCTGTGTTTTCTGAGGAGTCACAAAACCAGTCTTTCATATGTTGTTTTTTTGGTTTTTTTTTTTTTTTCAAATAAACCCTTTTAAAATATTGAGTTTGCAGCTAACAACCTATCCAGGAAAATGAAAAGATACATTTCCTTTTTTTAAATTCACATAATCTTTTGGAAAACACATTCCTCAATAGGCAGATCATTAAGGCCACGGCAGCACTTCCTGGAGTGGTTAAAAATGGATAAGCAAATATGGACAGCATCATTACTGACATATTGAGTAGGCTTATAGAACTACACAGGTAACCAGTAGTAAGTGACAGTGAAGAGTACAAATAAAAAAGCTATGAGGATAGAGGAAAAGCTATGCATACCAAATCCTTTTTTCTTAGCTTTGGGCCCTCATTGCCAAATCTGAGAGGTGTAGTGTGCTTATTGACTAAACAGGAATTGAGCATGCTCAGCCTCCCATGAGGCTGTGTTAGGAAACACTACATGTATCTTTCCTGTATTTATAAGAGAGAATTATTTGGGTTTAATCATTCCTGAAAAAGCTAAATCAGCATCTAGCCTGTGAGTACAACTCAGAAAACTTTGTCCACAATCTTACTGCACTTATATTGTATGAGAAACAAATAAAACACTTACAAATGCAGTGACCTACTTTCAAAACTTGCTCCAGCCTATAATCACCATAGTGCAGATAGAAAACATGCCTTATTGATTTCTTCTCTGTGCTATTACTATTGGCAGGTTGTTTAAACAGCAAAGGAAAAGGCAGAAGTAGGTTATAAACTGGGATTGTATTTTTGTATTGCATTGTAAGCGGTTCCTAGGATCACCTGAAGTCAGCTACAATGTGCTGGAATTGTATTCCTGCTTCTGTAATCAAATTTTTGATATTTAGCTCTCCCCTATCTTCAAAGTTGGTTGGAGGTACCTGGTGGAATACTTAATTATTTAAGCTCCTGTCCCCTAGTTAGGCCTCCCCAAGGCTTTACTGCTGAGGAAGGGACAGCGCTGTAAACTGCAAACTTTGCAGTTATTGACTGTTTGACGTAAACATTTGTTTTCTGTGTGATTCCTCAGCTTTTTTTTTTAATGCCTAATTTTTTTTCCTGGCTTTAGGGATGGCATTGTTTTCTCCTCCTGGGTAGTAGTGAACCTGGTAAACTGTGTTTTTGATGTGTGTGCTCCTTAGTAGTGTTGTGGTTTTTTTTTTTAATTTATTTTTTAAATTTTTTTTTCTGTAATGCTGAATTCTATATGAATGCTGCTTCCTCGAGCTCCTCAGTTTTCAGCTTTGTGTAGCCAGAGAAAAATAAAAAATAAATTTTTGAAAGATATTTTTAAATTAAAAAAAAAATAGAATCTCCTCATAATGATTAGCAACTATTTGTATTTTTGTAACATAGGAATTATTATGTGTTGTTATGATAGTAACTGCATAATAAAGGTGTCTGCAAAATTTTGTGATTTTGTTTATTCATACTACATGTGATCATCTTCTTTCTATAGTCTACAATGCTCTATTCTCCTTAGGTAATCTTCACATAATTATTTCTAATCTTTCCTAGAAGCAACTAATGGTGATTACCTACTTATTTAGACCAAGCGTAAATCACATTAACTGACTTTCTATTATAGTAATTCTATCTGAACTGTTTGTAATCATCAACTCTGTGGTCATGTTTTCATAAAAAAATTGGGTAGTTAGAATGTAAGAGTACATGCAGTGCTTCTGGAAAAACATGTATGTTAATTCATCTTATCATACAGCTGACATCCAAAACAACATCCAAAATCTAGATTTGCTTCATAAATAAACTGAATGAGATTTGCTTCATAAATAAACAGTTTCTTGATGGAAACTGTTTATGTTGATTTTATTGCATCCACTCTGTGGCAATATTTTCTTTCAGTAGCTTGTTGTTAAATATATGCACCTCTATAAGTTGTAGTCTTGAGTGAAACCTAGGTATCAGATTAAAATACAATTTTGCCCCACATAAGCAAGTCAGAAAGGTTAAACTTGTATTTGGACTGGAGCAATTTTCAACTGTAGTCAAAACTGCTTATCACAGGGATTTGAACTTCACATTTTCAAATCACAAACTTTGTCCCATCCTTCTAATCTTGTGATGATGGTTTAATCATGTTAATTTCTTTCCTTTCCTTTTGCTCCAGGTCCTCAGTCACATGAAAGATCTTGAAATGCATCAAATTCAGATCTCCAACTATGAGAAGGAAATAGAAATGCAAGTAATTAAATTGAAACAGCAACAAAACCTTTGTGAAACTCTGAGAACAGAGAGGACCCTGTACAGTAAAAATCTGATTGAAGCTAAGGTAGAAGGATACATTTTTCCTTGTGCTTGCTCTTGTTTTTTTCCTGATTTAATTTTAATTTGTTAAAAGGAAGCTCAGTGGATCAATGGCAGAAGTGGTTTCTTCATTCCTGTGGGTTTTGGGGAAATTAATATTTTAGGTCTCTGAAGTTTTATCTACGCCATTTGTATTTGGACTGGAAATAGGAGTCCTCAGTTATCATATGGATATATCCCTGCTTCAAACCATGCATAAAATCATGGTACACTGGAGCCACAGAATCATAAAGCCATCCTGCCTCCAGTCTGTTTTATCCCTTTAGGAGTTGTATGCATGTATGTGAAATAGGGTATAAGGGGAATAAGATTGCCTCCTTAGCCCTGAATGAGTATGCCCATTACTGTGAATAATGATTTAGGAAGCAGAGAAATACTTTCCCAGCTGAAGTGGAATTTTCTGTCAAGAACCAAATGCTTCTACCTTGCTTGTTTCTTTCACAGAGTGTCATTTTCCTCAGGAGATGATTCTTTCCATTCATACATCCTCTTTCGGGATGTCACTAACAATACTAGAAGAAGAGAACAGAGCACTTAAAGATATATTCTGTTATTCTGATGTAAAGATCTAAAATACTACACAAATCCTATTGTAATTGGCAGATATTGGGACCCTGGATAGCTGTCATTTTAAACCTTGGGTTATTTCCAAATAAGTATTTATGACATAAGCATGTATAATAAATTACAAATTTATACTTAGGTTTGAATAGGTAGGTATTTTGTTTGAGAAGCACATGGAAATGAACGTCAAACTTCCTAACAAGCTGTGAGCTGAATTCTATGAGGAATGCATCATTTTGCCATTTATGTGGGATGCTTTACTTGACTGTAGTCTGCCTCTCATCTGGTGGATTCGGTGTTGGGATTCTTGCTGCTCCCAAACAATCTGTCAGGAGAAATATGGCTGAAAAATCACAATGCTGATTTTTTTCCTAGTTATTTTTATTTAAAAACACACTAGATAAATTCGGTTATTTATAAAGAATGGTGAGTTAGAAAATAGAGCAGCATTTTGGTCTTTGGGTTTTGAATGTTATGGTGGTAACACTATGCTGTTCACAGTTCCAGTTGTTGGAGACCAATATTTGGACTTTAATAGCTTACTTGTCATATTATTAAACTCTTTTAGCAAGTCCTGTGTGAGAAAATAGCTGACCCCAAAAGATCTTTTGGCCAAGGCAGTGTTATGTTTAGCAATTAAAAAAATAGCTATTCAATGTTCAGTAACAGATCAGCCAGTCATGAAAGAAAAAGAAACCATAAAAGATGGTTGTTTTAAACATTATGACAAATTCTTTCTTGTTTTGGGAAGTAAAATTTGCATAAGCTTGTTTAGATAAAGCTGGATGTAATTATTTTCAGATTGCTTAGTGTGAGATGATCTTATGTCCACCTTGCCAGTGGTCTCCAGAGTACCATAATATTCAAGTCATTAAAATGGAAGGCATCCTGGCAGGCTGTTAATATTATATAAATATCTGATGCTTTCATCCTGAGGCTTTCTTTTGGTGTTAGGAGTTCATTTATTTAAGCAAGTTAGTTAGGAGACCAGTTTGCAAAATTGTGTGTTCTGACTGTTTGGCATTAAGTAAAGAATTAAGAATGTATTTGGGTGTGTGAGCTCTATAAGCTAAATCTGTCATCTTTTACAAGACCAAAGAGATTTATAGGCTGTGTACCAAAGAATGTGCAAACAGCTGGGCCTAGTGACATAATAGAACTAATCAGTCCTTTGTGCTGCTTGGGTGAAGATTGCCATGACTCAAGATCTTGCTTAGCTACATTAAGCACCTCATGCAGGTAAAAATCCCTCATTTGTCGAGTAAATCCACACCTACGGTGGATAGTGCTGAAGGAGCTTTAAGCTACCCTGGTGTGGCACTGGAAGAGGAGAGAGATTGATGTGTTCTCTGTGAGGTGGTAGGTTCCAGTAGAGGATTAATAGCCTCTAAAGCTGCTTTTATTACATCCAGAAGAACAGATCTGTCTAATCATCGACTCTGTTAGCTTCCATTTCAAGGCATAACATGTGCTGTCACTGTGCTGAGCTGAAATGCTAATTTTGTACTCACACCTTTGTGCTGTGAGTAGAAGTACTCCTACTGACCTGATCTCTCTTCAGTGCTATCAGCCTTTTTGCTCTGTGTTCGAGCTTAAAGTGTGTGCTAAATATTTTCACAGAGCCTTCTCAAGCACTGAGTCCTCTTCAGAAATTTGCACCTCTGTGCAAACTAGCATATATTGATATCTTACTGAGGGCTATGTTTGTTTGCACAAAATGACCTTCTCTCCAAAGATTTATGCCCAACTATGCATGACCTTATTGGAAAAGCATGTTATCAGAAGCATGAAAACAGATGGAAATGATCGGAATCTTAGTGATTTGGATTGACTGCTAGTTCTTATAGTGTGTCCAGTACTTTAAATTAAATGTCTTATTAAACTCATGATTGATGGTCATTATTTTTGTCACTGTATCTTTTAAAGCTTTTTTAATTGCAATGTCATGCTAGCTTAAAAAATTGTTGTTTAATGAAACTGTTTTTTTCTGTTGGATTAAAAAATGTTTTGTACTAGGTACAACAGATTTACTTTCATGCACCATAGCTACATTTTCCAACATCTAAACAGCCTGAACCCCACAGCAAAAACACCCTCTTGCTTTAACCCTTTCTGTGATCACCTTTCCTATTCTATTAGGATGAGATAGCAGAAATGATGACGAAACTGAAAGCTTCCACACGTCAGGTGGATCAGCTGAAAGAGGAGATCAAAGAAAAGGATATAGCCCTTGAGAAAGCACAAGTGGAATTCCAGCAGTCAGAGGACGAGAGAAAGTCCATGAAAGTAAGACACTTGGCACAGATGTTTTCTTGCAAAGTCTGATTTCCCAGACTGCATTGTGTTCTGACCTTTGGTAGTTGTTTTGCTGTATTTTAATAAACTATCCTGTACTTGAAGCACAAGATCTCAGCACCCTTTAGAGATACTGGTTGCAGAAATCTGTATCTAACAAATTTAATCTTTGCCTAAAATTACAATGGTAATAAAAGAGTCCTTAATTGTCTGTTGGAAGCTTTAAATCTCTTGGTGACTGAACATTTTTTAGTAAAAAGTTCCATTTTGCTTGCAAAAGTGTTGATTTTGTGGGTAAACTGTTTCTAGCAAACTTTTTTATTCAGACCCTTATAGCTCAACTTTTTATTTTTAAGAACTTTTTTCTTTCTACTGTTTTTAAGTGCAAACCACATTATATTGCACAATGTTGTATTTCTGTGTAACTAGCAAGCATTAGTCTTTTGGGAGTTAGACAGTGCCTTTTAGTAGGTCCCTCTGCACAGAAAGTTATTTTAATATTGTGGTATACAGCAGCAAGATTTTGTCTTAAATCAAAGGAATTCTAGGCTTGATGCTTGGGTCTTTCTTCACAGTGATGCTGCAGTCCATCCTTAGATAAGCTATTAGATTTGTGGTAGTATCTCTACCCAATTTGCTGTACTCTGAAAAGATTTATAGAGTTGTGTTCACAGGACTTTATTTTTAATCTTCACTAAGCATTAAAGAAAAAACCCCAGTAAAAAATGCAAACAATACCCCCAAAAAACAGAAGTTCCCTGTCACTTTTCCCAGTGTTTTCTTTTGTCAGTTTATTGCTTTGCTGCAATGACTTTTTGAATTTTCAGCCTCTCTCAGCACATAGTTATGACAAGATGTCAATAGGGCTTTGTAAAAGGGTGATGAATTTGTATTCTTGTACCTGATCTGTTCCAGAGATGTTTTATCAGTGATGGAGAAGTCAAACAGCATCTCATTCCCTGTGTGCAGCTTTCTGCCTTAACTAGTCCTCAATTCCGTCTCATCACCTCAGAATTCTCTGCCATTTATTTGACAAACATATGACTGCTGCATGGTTTTCCCACTCAATTATTCACCAGCAGGTTTGTCCATACACTGACATGAGATTACTGACTTGCTTCAGGGCATTGTGGTCTTATATCTGAGTGTCACTGCTGAGTACTAAACCAGAGGAGAATTCAGAGGTAGCTGATTGTCACAGGCACAAAAGAACCCAATTATTTGTGTTGCAAGCCAGCATCAATGTATCCTGTTTGCACTGATGTGAAGAAGTAAGAAAGCTGTTCCTGGGAAATAAATTTAAAGAATGTGCTGAATCATGGAGGACTGGGATTCATAGGAACGAGGTTATGCAGACACGCTCACCTCAGAGCATAAAGGCCTTAAAAATGTGTAATCTTGGTAAATGCAAGCTGACTAAAGCCAGTACAATGCCATCTTTTGGCTTCAGTTTGCCTTCATGCAGGGCTGCAGGTTAGAGTTGTTAGACAAAGGATCTGAATATTGAAAAAAATTATATCTGTGGCCCTGGAGATTGCAGCTACTGGCCAGTCAAGTGATTTGTATAATTTTGTAGATGTTCATGCATATTTTTTCTGGAAATCTGAATAGAAAATCTGACTTGTTATTTCAGCATTCTGTGTTCAGTCCCAGTTATAACTTTTGTAAAACTCCTGCTTTTCCTCTAGTACAGAGTATCAATAAAAGTAACACTTGCACTAGTATTTCAGAATCTAACCAATATTTTAGTTTGAGTTTGGTTTGAGATATTGGTATAGGTCCCATATATGTTATTTTTTCTTGCTGACTGTTCTTCAGTTCTTACAAATTCTCTGAACTGACTTCAGGTGAGCTATGCTGATTTACAGCAATTTCACATATGACCATTTTTCTGCTTGCACAGTGACTGTGTTTATTAATTTCCTTTCTCTTACCTGATGTACACAGACCCTCATACTGTGGTTCTAGTCATATTTAATCTAACTGAATATCCTTGTGTGGCTTTAAGTATTTATGTTCCTTACTATACAAGGCAGTTTAGATTTATTTTAACTGAGTGTGTTCCAGTGAGATTTGTTTATATAAATGTTTGCTGACCACATCTAATGCCACTTCTTGTTTACAATTCATATTTTTCTGACATAAAGAGACCATAGAATTGTGATCTATTAAAAAAAATATTATCCAGCAATGCTGAACACAAGAGCAGTTTTACATTTGTGGGCAGCTTTTTGTACAGTGTTTATTGCATTTCAGGATGAAGTGACTTGCATTTTTATTCAGCTGACGAATTCTGTTGAATATCTGACACTGACTAAGAGAGCTATGTCTTACACGTGTAGGAAAATGAGAATTTTATTAAAGAAAATAAGAATGGAACAAGCTATTTCATTATGATGATGGAACTGTTTGCCTTAAATCGATGTTTTTGCAGGTGCACCCTTCATCACAGCCTCATTCTTTCAGCATTGGATGATGCTTATTTTGAACATCATTCTTTATATGGGTCAGAGCTGTGGCAAAGTCTTTGAGTTGAGGCTTGAAAGTTTTCATAGCTATGAAAATGAACTGTTGTCAGCTAGTTCCACCTTGGCTCTAATTGCCTAGCAGTGATAAAAACTTCTAATAATGCAGGAAGACCCTATTAGTTTTTATCTACATACATACCTTAAACTGAAGATTTTGTGACAGTGGGATAGAATGAATGGGCAGATTCCAGTGTTAGTTTGTGTTGGTGCTATGCAGTTCCTGTAGCGGTGCATTTCTTGTCCTTGCTTAGGGACAGCCCCTCCTTTCACAGTCTTCCTCATTTACACATTCACTAAACAAAGTGCTGTAGCTCTTAAATCTTGCTCTTCCCTTCCTGGTTGGCACCAATTTTTTTATTCCAGTCTGAAGCCTTTCTTGACTTGATGCTGCTTTGTATTATACAGCAGAGATTGTTGCCCTTGTCAGCAAGGTGAACTGTTCTTTCTCACATCCTAGACTGACTGTGAATAACAACTCAATTGAAAAGCTTTCTAAATATGTGCTGTATAATTAAAAAAAGAGACATCCCCGAATTACAACCTGAACCATTGTCATAGATAAAAATACTTCCAAATTTCTATTGTGTATAAGACAATTATATTAAAATAGTATTTACTGTATTTCTTTATGGGTCTTCATGCTTGCTTATCTTGGTGATTAGTTCTCAAAAACTAACAAAATGTGTACCTCTCAGGAAGGTAAAATAATATATGAAATATTTATAAGTAACTCTTAATTGTAGGTTTCTGTAATGGGAAGTTATTAATTAACAGTTGCTCACCTATATTTTTTATCTCCATCAGGCTGAACTGCTAAAGATGACAACACAGGCTCAGGAAGCCAAAGCCTATATTAAAAATCAGGAGGCAGAAGAGAAAAAACTCCTAAAAATCATTGCTGAAGCTGATGCAGAGAGACTGAAGCAGAAGAAGGAATTTGACAAGGTTGGAATCCCTAATTTGAGTTTTCAAATACCCTGCATTCTGTTCCCTCATTTGTCCAGTGTATTTTTAAGATGAAGATTCTTCGCTACTATGAATGTGGGAGTACTAAAGCTTTATAATGCCATTAAAACCAAAATTTTAAGATACTGAGGTGAATTAAATCTGTAGTTTGTACTATTCAGGTGACCGAACCCTTATAGGGGAAATTATTATGTTCTTGCCATATTTCTTTAATTAATAACAATGAAACCTCTTAACGCCCGTGATTTGGACTGATCAAGTATAATCACGTTACTCTGGGGTTGTGTGAAGGAAGTGTAAGTGGGTTTGTGGCTTTGCCCCGTGCCCACAGGTGCTCTGTGAGAGACATGCCCTGGGCACCCAGCTCATGCACCGCAATGAGGAGGTGGCGCTGCTCTATGAGAAGATCAAGATCCAGCAGGCCATCCTAAACAGGGGCGAGAGCGACTACCGGCAGCGGGTGGAAGACTTGCGGCTTCTCAAGCTGGAGATCAAGAAACTTCGGCGTGAGAAGGGAGTACTTGGCAAGAGTGTGGCTAATGTGCAGGAGCTCAGGTAGGAAACCCAGTGGAATACATTTCCATAGTGACCGCAGCCATGATTTTGTGTTTGGGACAGAAAATATGGTTTATACATAGTAAAGACTTGTATCAGCCTTGGAGAAGGGGTTTTTATCATTTGACCTCAAACGCAGACTGGATTAAATTAATGAAACAACTTACCAACAATTAGGAAAATTGTAATATAGTAATGAGGAAAGAAGGGATCTTGGCCAAAGTTGAAATAGTTTCCATATTTATCCTTTTACTGTGAGTTACTGCCTAAAGAATAAACCTGACAGCAGCAGAAAAGATGTTCACAGTCCAGTGAGCTACTAAGTGGTACAAGGCCTAGATTAGTGGAACTCCTTTTGGTTAAGCGATGCACAGAGTATGGGAGACACTGGACATATTCATAACAAAACCCTGTTTTCAGAGCTCTCTCCTTCCAGATTTATATGCAGATCTTATGATATCTGAGAAAGTTTTAGTTAATAGCCCAACCTGATTTATTTCCTCCTTCTCCAGCTTAATGCTTCCTTTATTGTTTACCCCTCCTGTATTTGAGGTGTATTCTTTCCTGATGAGAAACTGTGGACTTTTTCTAAGAATCAGTCTTGATTTGTAAGGAGAGGCAGTTATGTTTTTACCAGATAACCATTGTACCGATTCGGTGTAGCTATCACAGTTTTGGGTGAGATCTTTACTTTATCAGTGTGATTCCGTGACTTTCAGCAGAACAAATTAACTTCAGTCCATGGTCAGTCCCATTGACTCCAGTGGAATTATGCCAGTTTGATTTGGTGAAACAGAAAGGAGAACTGGGCACACAGCATTAGCAATTGCAGTTTTCATTGAATGACTGCAGATAGGAATGGGATTTGAAGTAGCTGCCCAAATGCATTCAGCTGAAAGTCTGTTACTGTATTGAAACTCAGTGACAGTATTGAAGTGCAGTGTGCTGCATGCCATGATGGGTGGATCAATTCTTGCTAACTGCAGCAGCAATCTCATACTTTAATGAAGTCCAAAACCATCATGAAAACTGCCTGTCGAAAAGATTCCATTTATCACTTGTGCTGCTAATTAGCTTTCCCGATTTGCCAATTGGAAATGTGAGGTTTTTTTCCCCCTGTTCCATAACCTCACAGTTAAAAAAAGGCCTTTTTCTCTCTAGTGAGCTAAGTGCAATTCTAAACCTAGTAGGAAAAGATTCAGTGGTGGAGGAGGCACATTTCAATCTTTCGCCCCACTTTTGACATTGGAGAATTTAGAGGATCCCATCACTAAAGTGATACGGGTCAGATAATTACAAAATGTGCCTTTTTTCCCTGCCCTTAAGCCCCCTATCCCCACCATAAAAGCCTAGTTATCAAAGAATCTTGGTAGTGCTCGATTAATTTTAAATTCAGCAACAAGTCACTTCTGGAATTCCTTGAGGAGATGTAATAAAAGAAATCAAAGTATAGTTCTCTTAGGAACAGTGTCCATCATACTTAGGTCCTAGAGTGTGTTTTATTTAATGGATTTTGTGAGCTGTGTAGATTTAAAACCTTTCAAACACAAGCTGTTAGATTCAACATGGGGTAACTGGATATGACCCATAACTGATTTGTAGGTTTATGAACTAACTGTCCTTCTGGCCTTAATGTACGCGGGAAGATGTGAAGAGTAGTCTGTGGAGTAGATTCCCTGGGAGACTGTTTTCTGAGCCATTCTTAATGAAGCAAGTAAAGAGATCCAAGTGTGCTATTTTATGGTTCCACCTGTTTAGTGGTATCATATTGATATATTTTGCCACCACAGTACTGCTGCAGTGTCAAAGTGCCTCTTTGTGCTTTCCATGTAGTGCTTCCCATGCACCATAGTGCATGGGAGAATGATTTGTTAATGCTCATATTAGTGACTTGGTAGCATTGAAGTATTTTTGGTGTGTTTTTTCTTTTTATTTTATGCTGGTCTTCAGATGGGAGTTTAATCACATGCAGAAGGAGCTGTTAAGGGAACAGACTCGGTGCAAAATTTTGGAAGAAGAACTGCAGAAACCCTTGCAAGTTCACAGATGGAGAAAATTAGAGGTGATGTGTGAGGATTTTGTGTTTCCAAAGCCCCTATTATCACATCAGTGACCCACCAAAAGCTTATTTCATTTACTGTTATGCAAATGATGTGGAGGGACTGGGCAGACTGAAATTTCCATAGTAGCAATGGAATTCTTACCTGCTGAATGCTTTCCTTGCACAATGCAATCAGTGTTATTTTTGTGTCACTTTCTCAATGAAAAATTGCAGGAGGATTTGTAAAGAGACAGTGAAGTGCTAAAGGGAATAAGAATGCATTAGATGAATTCAGAAGGAGGTGATTCCTTAACGTAGATGGTGAGAAATAAGATGATAGCGGAAAGATGCAATCCTACCCTCTCCGAGCAGGGAGCTGTATATGGGAAGAAAGGCTAATAGAATAGGTAGACTGGAGAATGGACATTACATCTGAGAAAAAACAGAATGAGTCCTTCACATAAACAGTGCTGGACTCACAAAGACAGTCATTCCAGGTAATGTGAGTTCAACTGCTTTACATAAAGAGCAAATCTAAGTTTTCACATTATTTGAACCTGCCAAGTGAAGGGGAAAAATAAAAAATCCATCAAGCATAGACCAAATACATGAACATCAGTTGGCATCACTGGATATTTTTGATGTAAGTCAGTGCCATCTGAGATTCCTCAGTTGCATAGATCTCTGATCTGATGCCAGCCTGGGTTACTTAGCTTCTCTAATATTGAGTGATAATGTGCTCTGTCCCTGCAGAAGCAGAGCTGAATATTTTGACTGTTCTCACTAGTATGATAGTGAATTTCTGATCTTTGCATGCTGAGCTTAAAGTTGGATGGTGTGATTAGCTTTTCTCAAGGAAGGGAGATATAATGCAGGATGCTGAATCACATCTAGGTACAAACTCTATCAGCACCTCGTAACAAAGAAAAATCAGGCCAGTCAAAACATCCAGTGATGGGAAAACGAACCTATGAAGAGACTGGTAATGGGAAATCATGTCTTTGCATTCTAGGTAACTGGTTTGTATTTGGAACACAGAAAGGCCAGCAGATGGCAAGATACATATGAAATAATCCTGATGGGGTTTTGGTTCAATTCCTAATGAACAAACACTTTCATATCACTTCAGTAGTCACAAATTGGCACCATGCTTGGGCAGTGCTATAAAAAAATCAAGGACTGAGTGGATCATGAGGACTGGTCTACTTTTTAGCCTGGTTTCTCAGGAAATGATGTTGTGTTGTGAGCACTGCATGTGTATCTGTGTCAGTGTCCTAGTTATGCTTGAACTGATTAGTCAATTGAGATAAAACTAGACAAAATACTAAGAACAATGAGATACCAAGTTCTTTATAAGCTCAAGCAAATATAAGAGGGCCGGACTTTATTGGAGCCTTTGCTGCAGTGTGAGTTTAGTCCTTATGAGACACCCCATGAGAGAGGAAAAGCCATATTTGAAAGAGGTGTTATGAGTCCCTGAGTGAGGAAAAGTTTCAGTCAGAGTTTGCCCTTCATTGAAAGATCCAAGAAGAAGACACAAAGTACTGGGAAAGTAAGCTGTGCTGGCTCCTCCTCACACAATTATTTCTTTGCTCCTTAGAGCTTACTCCAGATTCAATCTATGCCAAAAGAATGAAAAGGAAGGGATGGAGAGACAGACATCTACTAGCTCCTGGTGTTACGGGCTGTGTAGGTAGAGGGCAACAGTACAGTGCTCTGTCAGTATTTTAAATGTTTAATTCCATTGAAGAATGGGATTTCACACATATGGACACTTTAGAACCCCATAATAATTCATTAGTGTACCCCCCAAATTTGTTCCTCTTAAGTTCTCCACCTGTCTCAAGATTAAATTGCAGTTAGTATTTTTTTTTTCTCGATAGAAAAGTCTTCTCCTTAGAAACTAAGTTGTCGCTGTGTGAAGTTCTTGAACAGCAGGAGGTACTTGCACTGCTCTTAATTTGTCAGTGGACAGTTCCAGTTGCTGCTAAAATTATAAAGTTCCAAGACTGCTTGTATACATGCAAAAAAACCCCAAAAAACCTAAAAAATACCTGAATGTGTCCTCCCCTAGTGCCCCTTTTATACTTGTTACTCTTGAACACTGATATATTGTGGTTTTCATTTTCAAAAAAGAAATAGTAACTTGTTATGTATAATTTTTGAGACTCCTTTGCTCTTTCCTAGGCCAGTGACCCCACTACCTATGAGCTGATTCTGAAAGTGCAGAGACTACAGAAGCGACTTATCAGCAAGACAGGTGAAGTGATAGAGAAAGAATTTCTCCTTCAGGTACAGCAGCATCATTATTTTGTTGCATCTCATTAATATATTTGACTTACTCTGCATTCTCTGTCTACTGACATGTGCTTCCTGAATGTTATTTAGATGCAGACTTTGGATTTCTTTTGCATGCCCTTTAGGTAGCTTTAGATGGCAGCACTGACTCACTGGAAGAGAACAAAAAGCATCAGATTAGTTGATTTTTATATTCTGGTTACTGATTGCTGGTCAGCTCTGTAAAATACAATTAAAGGTTGGCTTTAGTTTATTCATGTCATAGATTAGCCTTCAGGTCAGTCTTAGACTATTTGAAAGGTTTTTCTGTGTCATTTTAAGCAAGTATGCTATGACCAGAACATGAAGGAAAATTCCTGATTGGTTCCATTTGTGCTTAGCTTGGCTTTTGGCAGGAGGAATCTTAAAGCGTTTGTGTGATTTAGATATGCTGCTGTCTGGAGCATGTTTGATTTCAAGGTTTTTATCCTGAACTTTAAAAAAAAAAAAAAAAAGATAGCTTATCTTTTTTAAAACTGTATCAGATGTCCCTTAACCCCAGTGATAACAGTAAGATTTATGCTGTAGAATGAAGGAAAGACTGTATTCCTATAGTGCAAATGTTGCTATCAAATATAACAGAGAAGGACTCCAGACAGTCCTGGCTTTAACCAGAGGTGTTAATCTGGTCTATCTGGTGACTGTAGGGCTAGCTACAGATTACCAGCTCTAGGTGTAATTTTAACATCATAAATACCCTAATAGTCTTGATGCCTGTGTTGGGTATCACTCACTGGAGAGTAAAACGTGACCTGAATCGCCCTCTGTCTTGAGAAGAAGCTCTGCAGATCTTACCAAAACAGGGTTTGTCTTTATTTATTGTTTCATGGGAAAATGTTGATCTGAAAATTCATTTGAATGTAATTTATGGTGTATTATTCCTCTGCTTGGAAAAATGTGATCTTTGTTGCACAGCACTAAGATGCTGTCAGTGAAATAGTTATCTTAAAATGTAGCAAAAATAGCTCCAAATTTACTGTGCTTTACACATGCACAAAACAAATTCTGTTAGATTTTAGATAGTCTCTATTGCATATCTGGCCTTATCCCTAGTGTGCTTCCATTTTGCTATTATTTTCAGCTGAAGAACTGAGATATAGAAGTATTAAGTTGCCTGCACAAGAAAATCTTTGAAATAGTAGGTATTTAAGCTTACATTACTGTACTAGCCATTGGTATAATCTTTCTGTCTCTGCAATGGTCCTTCTATGGCATCTTTATGACGTTTTTATTATTTTTCTAGATTTAAGACAGGGTTTGGCTATATAAAATCTAATTATTATAGCTAGAATTGCTAATGAGTTCCTTTGTGTTCTTAATTCAGGCACCAATTTCCTCTGTAACAATGCTGAAATGAAGGTTTCCCTTGGAGAAATAATAGCAAAGGCCAAAAATACTATGTTCCATGTTGTGTTCAGGGATTTAACATCAATGTTTCTGAGCTCTTTTCTTTTCCACAGTGTTTTGAGTTCTCTACAATGACCGAAAAAGGGCTCTTTCAGAGCAGGGTGTGAGTATGAGGAGGTAGCCAGAGATGGAGAACAACCCTCAGCTTGTTTCCTTGAAGGGCTCTAAGCGCTGCTGGATAGCTCAGTGGCACAATGATCACAAATTCAGGGTACCAGCAGAGCTGCTTCTGCTGAGTGTCTGGTTAACCTGGTACAAGGCATTTCATTATTCTTTGGACTGGTTGTCCATGTCTCTTTTGTAAAATCATACCCTGCTACTCAGCAAAACAAACACCTCTGTAATAACTTACTAAACTGATGTTACCAAATTCCAAACTGCTGTGGTGAAGGGGTGAGCCTAAGGAACACTTCCAGCAGAAAGAAATAAACAGAACAATAACATCTGCTTTCTGGAGAGGCCTGAGTTTCACACACCAGGAGGGTGGCTTCACTAGACCACCTTCTGGGCAGTTTGAAAGATTTGAAGTAAAGTATTTGAAAGGATTGGATCCTGACTGAAGTTTAGAATTATGGGAAATAGCAGTAATTTAGCTCCAATTCCAAGAATTTCCCCCCCTCCATATAATTTCTATGTTGAAAGAGTTCTTCTCCCTTTCTTTTTTCTTTTATTTTTAAATCCTGCTAAACCTTTCATGCTTGAAGTCATTCAGTATCTTTTTAATATGGGTCTCTCCTGAAGTCAGCTCAGTTCAGTCACTGCTCATTTGCAGGACTGGGGGAATTCCTGATGACTGGCCTGTGCCTACTTGGCAGAACATTCCCCATACTCAGAGCTGGAGCCTGCAGACCGAGGGATAAAAACTTATTAGGTCAGAGAATCACTGCTATCCCTGTGTTATGTTTGCTTGCATAAGTCACAGTTCTTCACTCCCAGTCATCTTCATTCACATCTTGCCCTGTAACAGGGGCATAGCCATTGGGTGTAGCAGCCTTAAAATTAATCTCTTGCTTGCCATATGTAATTTTTTTTCATGTGTGTGGCCATCATGCTAGCAAATAGGATATTTGTTTAAGGTGAGCTTGTGTCTGTGTCTAATGTGCATATTATGTAGCATAAATTTCCTCACATCAAAGTGTGTTAATAAAATAGAGTACAAAAAACCTTGTGTGTTGAATACTGAGTATTAAAATTACCTTTGGAGTTTAGAAATAACCCATGTGAGGAAATGGTTGAGCCCAGTGTCAGCAACCTACAGTTTGATTTGTAGGGTATTCACCCTGCTGCATACTCATGCGGAGCCCTAATGTTTTTATAAGGGAAAACAATTCCATTTGTATTGTATGCACTGTAACTCTGTCTTCTTTTTTTACTTTTTGGTAAATGGTCTTTTAAATAAAAGTGCAGGGAACAAGGTTTCAGCTGGATATATAAATGGAAATTTTCTCTAAGTAAGGATCACAGTATATAGATTCATGTAGAAAAGCATCTGCTTACTTTACCTGCTCCTGATGTGCATTTGATCATATCCTTTTTATTAGCTTTTTCATTGTTTCTAACCTGTCATTTCTTTAAAACTCAGGCAGATGTAGGAGCAAGCTACAATCCATGCAAGGTGATTAAAAGAATGATTTGCTGTGTTTCAGTCAGAAAATTTAGATTGCTGACAGTATAGGAAAAACTCAGCTTGACTCTAAAATCTCATGCAAAAATTAATCTTACTCTCTCTTAACCAGTCATCAGGGCACATATTTTGGATCAGACATATGCTGAGAGATAGTGAATATGCAGCATGCTAATGTTTGGTTTCGCTAGAAGAGCTTTTCAGAGTTGAATATTTTAATAAAGGTGTAAAAAGATTTCCTATGTTAGAGAAATTACTGAAGTCTTTTCTTGTTTCTGATTTATCTGTGCCCTGTCACCACAGCATCTTGGGTTATAAGGTATCAGCTCTCATATACCAAATAAATGTGGTCATACTGGGGTGCAACTTTGAAGAGTAGCTGCAAAGCAGGTGGTCATACTTTAACTTTTAATTCAGGCATTCTCACAGTTATGAGCTGCTGCGCTGATGAAAAATGTGGTCTTAAAAATCAGATCCAAACCCAAGGACTTGAATACTTTTGGTCAATAGAATTCCAGTGGTATTTTTTCCAAACATAGGAAATGTTATTTGAGGGATAGCCAGTTTTCCTGTCTGAGTTGTTACCTTCTTTTTGAATTGGTGCAGTCAAGATAGAGCACATTTTTGGTTCTTTTCTAAACTGTTGAGTAATACTGCAGGGCTTTGTGGAGCAATACATTGTGTGTTATCCAGGAGATCTCACGGATGAGTGAAGGTCTTTGTGAACACATGTGGAATGAATGACATGTTGTAAGGTCACAAGGAATAATTATTAATAAACAGGAGTGGTCTGCAAATCCTGACTGCAAAAATACAGTTGCTCACTTTGCATGTGGGGCAAATCCCTCGTGACTGAAACTCTGCTCTGCTGTGTGCTGAGCAGTGATGTGGTAAACACGCAGTGTAAAGTATTACCTTGTTAGGATTATGATTAGTGTGGTTTTAGGAACTTATCCCATTAAAAGTGAATTATGCACTGCTTTATTTGTTTCAAATTTAGTTCTTTCTCTTCAGAGCGAACTTCTCTAATTTGATTTTATGTCTGACTGAGCAGAATTTTATTCAGCTGCATGTCTTGGAATGGGTAACAACATAAAGATTCACATTATATGTCAGTTACCTCTTTTGTCAGTCATTTCAGAAGATTGTTCATAAATGTAAAATGTAAATGTAAAAGAAAGATTATTTGTTCAGGGAGGCAAAGGCAACTGTCTTATTTAAGCCTTGCATTTAGTAGTGAAAGCATTGTTTTTCTGTACATAGGTATTGTTTGAAGTTGTCAGCAATGAAAGTCCAGGACTGGGCAGCCAGGATGTGATGCTGTGCTGGCTGTGTCTTGAGCTCATAGTTCAAAGAGTGCAAGGGCAAAAGGCATGATTAGCTCATGTATCTGACTCAGAGATTACAGCCAGAGAGCACCCACATGTCCTTGCATTGAGCCAAGTTTTGAGCTAAGTTTCAATCCCTCCAGAGAACTGACTGTCCCAGTGACAGAGAGTAGGAGGGATTGAAGGGATTCTGCTGTCTCCAGCCCTGTTCCATTTCAGGTATTGTGAGATACAGGGAGGGGAGAGCAAGAGACTTTCTCTGTGACCTTGGGCAGGCTACTTAGCTTTTTCATGCCTCACATCAAGTAAAAAGGGAATAAAATAATTTCCATTCTTGTACTGCTGTGTGAATGAATATATTAGCAACATGACTCAATTCAGTAGCGAAACACTCAAAATAGGCAGATGTTTTATTTTATTTGTGCTAACTTGGTAGTAAAGCTGTTCTATCCAGTTTGAGGTGCTCGTTGCTATAGTGTCTGAACATATACATAACCATCTTAATTTCTCAGAGCTGGTACTATAGTTTCATAAAGAAATCGGCTTTAGAATAGTGTGTTACCATGTGGGTTTATGCAGGTTGGCAGCTATTGGAA